TATAAAGACACACACACACACACACACACACACACACACACACACACACACACACACACACACACACACACACACGCGCGCGCGCGCACGGACGTACGGACACACGCACGCACGCGCCACGCGCGCACACACACACACATATATATATAATAATAATATTAATAATAATAAATAATAATAATAATTATTATTATTATAATAATACTAGTAGGCCTAATGATAATAATAATAATAATGATGATGATGATGATGATTATGATGATGAATAAATAAACAGAATCGGTCATCCGACGAGAAGCACACATTTCACGTCATGGCGCCAGGGATGACGCCATAGAACCGTGCTGTGCCTAGCGGCAGTTGCCGTAGAGAGGTTAACATTATTATACATTATAGCTCCGTCTATGATTAACGCTTCATCGCATAGTCATTTATTGCAAACCATTCTCTTCAAACCTAAATAGAAATAATATTTTTCGAAGTCTGAATAGAAATAGCACTTTTTTAAATTAAAACCATACTTTCATTAATAGAAAACACCGACAGTAAAATAGAAAACTTGCTACAGCAAATGCGACATACTTTAAATGAAAACATGACAGTTTAACATGGATACAACGCGCCCAGAAAAAGAAAACACCAACAGTAAAATAAAAAACTTGCAGTAGCAAATGCGATAACTGTGAATGAAAACAATACTGTGTATGGCATGAATGAAAAGGCTTCCGGATTTCCCCAATTGGTGGTATGGGATGCGGAATCATGTAGTGAAATTGTGTTTCTATGTGCAGCGATAAGAAACACCTGCGGGAATTCTTCATCAACAAACATCTAAATCGATCTCAGCGTTTATAAATAAGCTCGTTCCAAACGCGCGAAAACAATTCGGCCGCCATTATACAGGCCTGTATGCAAAGCATAGGCAAGCATTTTGCAACATCGCAGAAGTTGTTCATCCGGCTACAGTTCTATGGGATCTATGTGTTACATGTATGGAAATATCTGCCAATTGAAACCCACAGCACGGGTACCTACAGGCAAAGCCATCTATATGGAAATGATATAAAGGAATTTTGACAGCCCTTGTCGAAATTAATCGCTTAGATCTCGTACATGCGCCTAGGGTCCTTAAGTAGCTTGCAGTTTTAAAGTGCAGCAGTATGGAGATTTATGTGAAGCGGTAAGCCTGTGGTGTTAGTAGTGATGGTGACGTGTTAGTTTTAGCAGCAGTGCCAGTATCAGTGTTACTATCAGTGACAATATTAGCCATGGAAAGCATCAAGGAAGGCTGCAGCATAGGTGTCAGTGTCTGTGGAAACTGCGTGAAACAAAGAATCTCCCAGAATTCTAACACTGGGGGTATAGGTTCCATTTCTAAGCGTACTAATCTACGCTCTAATTAGAGCGCCGGAAACAAACACTACGCGCACCCCATTTACCTATTGTAAAAGCGTCAGCAGAAACAGACGATGCTCGCTTGGACCACATTTTTAATAGACCACAGTATTAATAATAGCAGCATCGAATGCGGTGTAATTCGACCAAGCCGCGCGGAATTGTGATTTGACGTCGTGACAATGTCGACTATAGATACCTTATTTTGTTTTCATCATTAGAGTTACACACACACAAACACACACACACACACACACACACACACACACACACACACACACGCGACGCGACACACACACACACACACACACACACACACACACACACACACACACACACACACACGACACACACACACACACACGACACACACACACACACACACACACACACACACACACACACACACACACACAC